ATAAATTTCACTTTCATTTTTAGTCAGCTGTGTTCAATAACATATTCATTCGTATGTAAATAAACACGCCACAAGTATAAATGTGGTCGCTTAAAAATATATTTTTAATAACAATATTCATTTTATTTAACGCCATTAGTATTTTGTTGAAAATCTCTGACATATTATACATATGTATTAACTGGCTTCGTGCTGTAAATTTTATTCATAATTTACCTTTTCACCTTTTGGTTTCTAACTCATTTTCTCTTTAAATTGTTTATATGGTTAAGTGTTTGTGTATACATATTCTTCTTTTTTTTCATGGCTATTGCTTACGTATTAAAAACGAAATACAAATATGTATGTCTGTGTTGTTCATTCGTATGGTTTCCGAATTTTTGCTGCCTTCTCTACAATATGTACTCAAATAATTTTAATCATTGCCAGTTGAGTGCTGTTTCAGTAGTATTAACGATTTTCAGTTTAGACCATTTCCGCTTGTTCGTATTTGTGTATTTATATGTATATATATATATGTATATACATATATATATATATACGTATGTATATATATACTAATAAATAAACGTACATACTGATGCACATATACATATGTATGTATATGTATTTTTATGACGTACCTAGGTATTTTGCGACAACGTTCAATGATTCCTAAAATAAGTTATTTAACACATCGCAGAGCTTTCATTTTTTATAAAATTTATAATTAATTGTCAAAAGGAATCAATTCTTCAATACATATGCTTATACAATCCTAGTACCGTTATTATTAATACACATTAATGTTTAATATCCAGCAAAAACAAATAGTAGCCAAAACGGAACATAATTCTAAAATTGAAAAATGTAGTTCTTCGATAGAATTCTAGTGCATCTAGCTCGTTAAAAAGATTCTAATTTCAATTTGTAAATGCTAAAAAGTGCAAGTAAAAATTGGAGCTGTCTTGATACATATTTATACCTATATTGATTTAAAAATGGTTAAAAAGTCACACTAATAATAAACAATCAAGCAATCAAAAAAGTGTTTACTATGTTTTTAATTTTTATAGCTAGAAAATATTGCAAAGAAATATTAACTTAACAACAGAAGCGTTAACGTACTCAAAAATATGTGTATAAAAAATAAAATATAAAAACAAATTAGGAAAAAACTTAAGGAAAAATTATTAGCAGAATTAACATTTGATGTAAATACTCATTAATCGAAATGAAAGGCCTGTATGCTAAATTATATACGTAATGTTAGGCTTATGATTTATGTGAGAAAATAAAAAACCGTGTATATGTATAGTGATTTTCAAGTGTCTAAAAGAAATCGGTTTCAAATTTCTGAAATATTAGGTTATGAAGCTTAAAAATATATCCAATTATAATGTGCGTAATGGAAAAACAATAGATCAAACTACTTAATAATATTGTAAGACACAGCCCGTATAAAATATTATATTTACTCAAATTTAATTAAATGTGCTCTCATCTTCTTTGTGTTAACAAAAGTGTATTAAAGCAAATGACCTTTTTATCCAAACATGTATTGAAAATATACCACTAAAATGAAAAAATATATTTTATAAATCGTAATAGCTCATACATATAAACAACCGTGATATATTCTTTAATGTTGATCTTATACTAAATAAATCCGGGATATATACACTGAGCCTTTGATGTTGAAAAATAATAAAAGTTGCGGTATTCGTGTATTATACTAAGGTAAGGTTTGAATTAAATATATCAGATGATAATTAAATATCTAACATACATACAAATTGGATAATTGAATGTTAATTTATAATGGATAAAAAAAATTTCATTATAAATAACGTCTAATACATTATTCTATGTACTATGTATCAGCATAATCAAATGTTATAATGGTACAGAGAGAGAGTAATAGTTTTGTTCACATCATGATTGTATCACCTCAAACGAATCGAGATAGATAAATGATCATAATGATGAGACGAGTTGAAATGAAGTTACTGTCTATCTATCTGTCTCTGTAAGAGATAATTTGAGTAAAAACAGATACTAGGCCAAAAAGGGTTGGTATTGCATATAGACACAAACAGACCATTGCCTCGTCCACAAAATGCCATTAACCGAAAACCTATTAAGTGCCACAACTAAGCTAATTAAAAAACAAAACTTTAATGTAGTAGTATGCACCGAAATGGGAAAAATCAGGTGTTACCGTGCTCACCCCCATATAACGGGTATGTTGAAAATTTTAAAAGCGATAACTATCTAGCGAAAAATTGTCGAAGTCGGACCATACATTTTCAAGCCCTCAGTGCCTATATCTGACTTTATACCGGTAATATCGGACAATTATTGAGATATTTCAGATAAATTCAGGAAGAATCGTGTGCCCTTTTTTCGAAAATGTGTAAAATCAGGCCAATTTAGTTCCAATACCTCCTTATACTTAAACTGCAAATTTTTTAACTTCCGTCTGAGCTAATACCGCAATCGGCAAATATGTGAGGTACTTTCAAATAGTTTTTATGTTAATTATTATGCTATTATTTATGTTAATTATTAATCCGTGTGCCTTCAATGGTTGTAATTGGGCAATTTCTTTGACTTTAACCAGTTTATTTAGGTCAATATATGCCATATTATAATTAAATTAATTGTTTCCTTAACCACTAGCTGTATATGAATGAAACTGGATAAATCCCAATATAAAGCTATCTGCATCAATTTCCTTTTCCTTATATACCCAATATTTTTAATTTCGACGCATTAGATGACTTTTAGTAGGGGGATGGGATATATTATATGTGTTTTAGGGCTTCAGAAAATTTTTTGTCTTTTATAATTCTGGCCACTAAATCTGGAAGCAAGAATTATAGACATCAGTACTTTTATTTAGCAATTATATGATTAATGTGTTATATTAATTTTAATATAAATATATCGGATTACGAGACATCTGCCCCAGCTCTGATGTTGTGGGAATACCGTCATACTGTCCTTTATTGTTTGGTATCTTTAAGATGTTGAGGGGTTGTGTGGGTCTCAGAGGTACAAAAAAAGGTATTTTCACGATTTATTTCGTTCGGTTTTTTTTTATATTTTTAGTAAGCTCATATAAACTAAATTAGATTATCTAATTATAATTATAGTTTTTAATTTATTACGTTCAATGAGTAAGACATAAATTAGCTATTCTGATAGAAGTGATACACCGACTTCGTATTTCAATTAAGAAAAAATAAAATGAAATATTAATTTCAATTATAGCGTAAATGAAATTAAATTTAAAAAAATAAAAAATATATTTTTTTCATTGCATGTCAATAAAGAAAAAATGTCCTTCGTTCAATAACTAGACGTGTACACATTTCGAACTAAATCGGTCCATGACTTTTCGAGAAATCGTGTCCACCGATTTCAAAAATTGAGTTTTGAGAAAAACGAACATACCTGCCATGCGCCCTGATCGATTTAAAATTTAAAGAGAATATTTTAAACAAATTTTTATATTTAATAATACAAAAAACCCCTTTAAGAAACTATTATGTAATATTGATCTATATAATTTAATATAAATTATATTAATTACTAATAATATTAGAAAGACTATCACTGCATGTTTTTAACTTTTCTGATAAATTAAATGGTCATGTTAAATGTAATAGATGTGTCGAATATCGCCTTCTAAAGCGCATCACATCATATATTTTCTGTTCTTTTTCATTCTAAATTATAACAAATCGACTATTTTTGGTTTTCTCATAAACTACTTATGTATTTATATGACTTAATTGCCGGGAGTATAAAAACTGATACTAATATTTGCATCTTACTTGCCTTCCAAATTAATTTAGAGTCAAATTCTATTTGAATAGGAATAGTATATAACAATTAATTTCCTTGTGTAAAGCAAGAATTTCTAAGATGTATCATGGCGGGATAAGAAGAAATTTCACTTTTGTTATTAGACCACACCATTTTCGAGAGGTTGAGGAAATGAAATGAATCCAAAATGAAAACCTATTGTATTTTTTCGCGTTTCTAAATTGAGCTTATGTTAGTTGCTAGAAAAGTAAACGCATTATCGAGATTTTTTGATTTCTTTAAATTCTTGAAGTTCTTTAATGATGCTTTCTAGATATAGATATAGATGATGAAATTTATATTATATTATATTTTTGGAAATTTGAAATATTGTTTACCACCCTTGTGTTTAAATTTTATATCATAAAGATATACATATGTATATTACAGATTTATGCTTAATATTGTATAACGTCAAAACAAGGATACAACTAAAAAGTTATTCTACAGGCATAACTTTACATTAGTATAGTTACCAACAGAATATGCATTTATTTATATGAAAAGTTCTTGAAATAGGTAGGAAAACCCAGTTTTGTTTATTTTTGTTTTAGAGTTTCCTCTTAGGCTTCTCATAGTAAGCCGCAGCATTAGAACGTTTTTATGTAACCATTCGTTTCTATTTTTGTTCTGCCTAACAACTAAATTAGTTTGACACCACATCCATATTTAATACTCTTAAGTAATAATAATAATAATTAGTGTTAATGCCTTTGATAGACGTTTAGGTAACTTTAAACACAAAAATGTACTAGGTACATTACACCGCAGTAAAATGATAATAGACAATACAATAATTTATTGGCAATATTAATAATATATTCCCTTCTTCCTTAACAATTTCGATTTTTGTGATAATTTCAATATTTTACTGGTAATTTTATTTGACATATTTATAAAAAATAGTATACCAGAAGTTAACATATAAAACCAAGTTTCTTTAAATTCTGTATGGCCGCAAACAAAAAACGATAACAAAAACAAGTAAAATTTAAGTATGACTAAGTAATACAAAAGTTATTTAAACTTAAGATAGAAATTCACACAGGTACTACCACTACAACTACAACACCAAATACAAATCAAATGAATTCTGTGAGAAGTTGATTGCACTCGATTTTTAGATAAAGCTTTTCAAGGTCAAAGCCAAAAATGGTTCATTTTTCATCATAGGTACTGAGAATACTCACATGAGTATGCTCATTATGCCAAATATGAATAATTACAATAACAAAAGTAAATGTCCAAGCGCCGGCAGAAATATTTGTACATAATATACGAATGCGTGAAAGTACCACAATTCACTGAAACATACAAACACAGATTTTAGATATCAGCAGTGAGATTTAAAATTTCGAGAAGTTCAAAATTATCGCAAAAATATATTTTAGATGTTTTCGATCATTACAAATGTAATCTTATAAAATAATATTACCTTAAGCTAGTTCCAATGCCTTAAAATTTCGCCATAGACATTCATGAAGTAAACTTTCCTTGAAATTTGTATATAATAAATAGTCCCACAGTTTTGTTCTTCAGAATCTTAAAAATATCTGTTCTCGTACTGACGTCATCTTTTGGAAATAGAGGCTAGCTAGCTAGCTATTCAGATTATAACATTGCCTCTGCTTAATTTTGTGGGTCGGCAAAGATAATATCCAACAATAAGCTTTTCCTCTTCTTTATTAGCGTAGAAACCACTTCCCGTTTGTATCCAAGTTTTTCCTTTTCGTTTGCTTCTCTCGGCGAGTACTGCATCGAATACTCTTAGAGCTGGAGTGTTTTCATCCATTTGGACGACATGACCTAGCCATCGTAACTGCTGTTTCTTACTTCGCTGAACTACCTCATCTACTGCGATATCCGCCGTTGCCAATGCCCAAAGGACCGCAAATCTTCCACGGAACCTTTCTCTCGAAAACTCGTAACGCCGACTCATCAGATGTCGTCATCGTCCATGCCTTTGGACCATATAGCAGGACGGTGATGATGAGTGACTTGTAGAGTTTGGTCTTTGTTCGTCGAGAGAGGATTTTTATTCTCAATTGCCTGCTCAGTCTGAAGTAGCACCTGTTGGCAAGAGTTATTCATCCTGTCTGGAGAATGCTGAACTAACGGCGCACTTGTTGATTCCAATGATATCAACATCAATGGTTTTACACTCTTATAGAAAATTGTAACTTTTCTATTCAACTAGTCACCTTGTCTGAAACTTTGTTTGGTATCGAACGACTCGGAAAGGTCCTTCCCGATCCTGACGGAACCTTTGGTATTGCTCAACGTCAATAGCCGTTTTAGTTTTGCGGGGAGATGAAATCTAGTGCTACAGTTAACTATATTTCTGGTCGTCGATATTTCGGCGCAGTCGATCAGCCTTAACCTATTTAGGGATGTTTCATCATGGCGCTGAGTACAGCGACCGTTGTGCCAAAGATACCTTCTGCCCACCCTGGCGTTAATGTCGCTAAGCACGATTTTGAAATCGTGGCATGTACAGTGATTATACTTGAGCTCCGAGAGCTCATAGAAAACGTCTTTGGTCACACTGTTCTTCTCTTCACTCGGGGTGTAGGCGCAAATCAGCGATATAGTAAAAAACTTCGCTTTTGTGCAACATGTTCATCCACGAACTGAGTGTCAACATTCGGCGACGAAGTCTTTCCTACCACAAATCCCACACGGAATTCGCACCTTCCCAATTTAAGGACCGGACATTCCAGATCTTTTAATTTAATAAATGTAGTTAAATAGATTAGAGAAGATACTAAATAATGGAGCATCCATAAAATACATTGGCTTTCTCCTCGTTGACTCTTTACACATTCTACTATTTGACTTAATTACCATCTAAGGATTTGAAAATCCTTCAACAAAATGTCCCATTTAAGAAAAATTCTTAAATTATAAGTCCTACATATACATATGTACATTTAAGATCATGTTTGACACGAACTGATAATTTTAAACCGAAATCGATAAATCGTTTCTTTCTTATACTGGTACAACTACTATGTTCCTGTGAAGTGCGATCTTCATATGTTAATTTTTGTGTGTTTGACAGCTTTTTGCTTACGGCGGAAAAATGTTCGTTTCCTAGCAAATTTTACATATTGAGTAAAATTTCAGTAGATATTACTCAATTCTAAATTGGATGTTATATTATATAATATGTTTATAATAGATCTTATTCTTCATATTACTAAAATTTTTTCTATTACTCTTTACAGTTAAGTATTACACACAACGCACGTTAAAAAGTATAATAAATCCAAGAAATCGAGAACCTTAATTATTTAGTCTTAGTCTGGTTTATTCCATCAAAACCTTTCGTATAGTAATTATTTTATAACGAATCGTATGAAAAACACGTGCGTTGAAGAAAAGGATAGTGTGTAATCCTGGGCAGAAACGGGAGACGGGGACATCTACACGCAGCTAACAGATGATCCCCACATGTCAATTGTTGCAGCCGAAAATGCAGGGTAAGTTAGATTTTCATTATAATAACTGTAACAGACATACATCTATTACGTATCTATTTATTTTCTGGTTTTAAATTCTCGCAATATGTTACTATTGAGTATAAAAGTTTTGTCAAGACTGTTCGTCATTCAATTCGTCTGCACAATCGAAAACATATGTAAAAATTGAGACATCTAAATATGAAACTTAGTACGTATTTTTCTAGACGTTATAAGAAGGTTAATGCTGCAAAGGAATAATGCTGTATATCTAAGCTTCACTGTATGATACGAAACTCTAATTTGGAACTTGAAGTCGCAATGGAGAGGCTCATCTGTGGTTTGATTAATTTCAACAGTTTGGCGTGGTCTCGCCCTCTAATAGATTTATTATCAATCTCCCTAACTTCTAAAGTTTTATCAACTATGCTTACTGAGTATAAGTTTTTTTTCTACCACTCTTTGAGTGACATTAGTGTCGAATAACCTAACACTCAAAATGTTTTTCATAAAAAAAAAAAAAAAAAAAAAAATGCATTCCTAGGTACACGACAATACATGATGAAGATGTTTCGTCGTGGTCTCGACAGCGACTGACCAATAGAGCGTAAGCGTACGTGTGAAGTCACCATGAACAATTGTCATATACAAAGTGACAACCACTGTTTTAGTCTTCAAACGCACAAGTCAGTCCCTTGATACTGAATAGTGTCTATATGCCCGATTCTTTACCGAAAATATCAGTCAATCTGTGAGATTTATTAATGAAATTTTGAGAGAATCTTTTTCTGATAACAATGCGCCCTTGCATCACAACTGGGTCAATACTTTCCGTAAACATTCCTGTTCCAGTTGACTTTATATCTATTTTTCTAATAGCAGTGTATTGTTGTACTAAAAAATAATGTCTGCCGGTTAGATTTATATCGTATATATGTCGGTCAATATATAAGATACCTTAGTAAACTTAAGTGAACGTATAATATGTGATATAGTATAGTAATGCAATCAGTGCATACCTTCTTCAAAATACCCTATTTACTTATATTAAGTTTTCTAATCAATATGTGGTTTCACGTTGAAATTGATTGAAATTGGTATTGACCTTGAACTAAACTTCCTATCCCTAATATATTACTTCCGAGTTTTTGTTTGGTTTTTCCTCATATATTAAATATAGGATGATATATGATTGTATTTTTATCACGCACGAGTCATTTTAGTTAATTATATTGATTTTAATGAAATGTCTCGGACACAAAGCGAAATGTGCTAATGCAAATAATTTATGTATGTAAGTTATCCATTAATGTTTTCGTTGAATAATGAATATTGAATTCTTACGCAAATTTTTTAAAAATATTTCTCCGGCAATGAGTCCGATGCGGTTAATTTGATCCAGTTCCGCCGGAACCTAACTCGTTCTTACTTCTATTAGAAAATTTTACAACTGGCCGACAACTTAGTATGAATGCCTCACTTTCTATATAAGTGCTTAATTATATTAATTGTTGTATGAGATTAGTTAAAAAACGAATTTTGTGTTTCTTAAGTAAGCGTTTATTTATTAATGTATATCTATTTTGCCTCCACAAAGTAATTATCACAGATACATGGCATTTCTGCCTTCGTTTAAGATCTTGTCCTTCGATGTAGTTTATATCTCCTCAATCGAAGCGAAGCGTCTTCCTTTCATGGGTCTTTTCAATTTTGGGAATAAAAAAGGCACCGAGGGCATGGTCCGGAGAATACGGTTATACGCGCACATGCAACCATGCGTGAGCAGGGGCGTTATCATCGTACAAAATCCAAAACCACCGATAAAAATTGCTTTTTTCCAATGCTTCACCATATGCCCCAGTCAACATATGAAATGTCCGCGTACTTAATTTGGTTTCTCACACAAAATTGTTTACAAATTCTTTGATCCATTTTTTGGAGTAAGCAAAAGTTGAAGACAAACCAAAACCTTCCTTCCTTTTCCTTCCTTAGCGAGCAAAATGTGTTATAACAGAGCCAGTGAAAAACGCTATTGCCTTCCTTCCTTTTCCTTCCTTATCGGCGGAATGTGTGAGCAGTGAAAAACGTGGCAAAAACGCAGAATTCAGCCATCTTTGTTTGTTTTCATTTGCACAATGTTGCCATTGCTCAATATGCATATATAGTTTTGTACACATCTATGTTTTCAATTACAATTTTTATACTCTCGCAACAAAGTTGCTAAAGAGAGTATTATAGTTTTGTTCACATAACGGTTGTTTGTAAGTCCTAAAACTAAAAGRGTCAGATATAGGGTTATATATACCAAAGTGATCAGGGTGACGAGTAGAGTTGAAATCCGGATGTCTGTCGGTCCGTCCGTCCGTGCAAGCTGTAACTTGAGTAAAAATTGAGATATCATGATGAAACTTGGTACACGTATTTCTTGGCTCCATAAGACGGTTAAGTTCGAAGATGGGCAAAATCGGCCCACTGCCACGCCCACAAAATGGCGCAAACCGAAAACCTATAAAGTGTCATAACTAAGCCATAAATAAAGATATTAAAATGAAATTTGGCACAAAAGTGGGCGTGGCCCCGCCCCCTACTAACTTTTTTGTAAATATCTCGAAAACTACTATAGCTATATCAACCAAACTGTATAGAGTCGTTTCTTTTAGGCATTTCCATATACATTTCAAAAATGGAGGAAATCGGATAATAACCACGCCCACCTCCTATACCTGTCTCTTATACACATCTAGATGTGTATAAGATATCTATATATATATATTGGCAACCCTGGGTTGTGAGAGAGCAATCAGCTGACACGTTTCCACGGCAAAAACTAAAATGCTGTAGATTCTCACGTCATCCGACGTCAAAGAGAGAAGGGAGTAGCGTTTTTCACTGGGAACTTATATTACGCGCCCATAATATAGGTCGAATCAGCTGACACGACCCACGATTCTACGTTTTTCACTGTTTCTGCTATTAAAAGTTGATCACGCAGGAAAAACGCAGAAATCAGCCATCTTTGCTTGTTTTCATTTGAACAATGTTGCCATTGCTCAATACGCATATATAGTTTTGAGCACATCTATGTTTTCAGTTACAATTTTTTATAATATAAAATATCAAAACTGAAAACAAACTATTAAAAATAATTTATATATTTATAAATAATAGCATTCGACTCTGATTTTGAGTTATTTTAAGAAAATTTCAAACATATTGAAGACAACTTTTATAATTACTACAGTATATCGAGATTGGCAACACTGCGTTGTGAGAGAGCAATCAGCTGACACGTTTCCACGGCCAATACCAAAATTCCGTGGATTCCTACGGCACCCTACGGCAAGGAGAGAGGGGAGTAGCGTTTTTCGCTGTTCATTTACATTGTGCGCCCATAAGATAGATCGTATCAGCTGACACGGGCCACGATTCTACGATTTGGGCTGTTTCTGCTATAAGGAACATAAGCACCAACATAACGCAACAAAACAATCGAAAATGAAATATATGTGTGTAGTCCGCGAAAATTAAAAATTCACGACACGTTTTGTACAAACCTTGTATACGTAATGCCGAGGAGGTACAAAATATTCCGCTTACTATTAATTTTTTAAGTTTTTAATAAATCTGTAATAAGTACGTAGTCAAAAATAATAATTTCAACATTTACAGATTTCCTAAAGTACTACAGAATATAACATATGTTTAATATAGTATATACTTATATATTTGATTGTATTTGTAATATGGGTACGTATACATACATAAGTATGTATATAAATAAATGCGTAGAAGTAATCAGACCGTGTCTAATATAACAAAGTGCAATATACCACACAGTAATGAAATCCCATTCAAATATCAAAAAATTTAAACTGAAATAAAAATCAAAACTAAAGCAAAAGTGAATTTAACCAGGGATATCTACTCCAATTGTTGATTGCTTTGCTTGCTAGGTCGAATTGTTGGCGACAGTGCATGAGGCATAAAATAACATGCACACATGCTTTGACACTCGTATGTAAAATATTATGTATGCGTAGAAATGCTATTACACATCGTGAACTGGTTTTTCACTATAAGCTTAAAATGTATGAAACGTGGTTATTGTGCTTCACTCCGGCATATTGGAATATAGTATTTCTTGCTCTATACGGCAGGCTGAAAGTTTTTGTATGAATACTTATATAACATTTGATAGCATTGAATTGCACCATTTTGCTGGCTACTTCTTGTGTTCAGGGCTCGTTTTGTTTCGTTACCTACAAATTTTCTGTTAGGGAACTCCAGTTATCGGTTACGTTAAATAATTTGTTATCTTGAAGGTAAACCAAGCTTAACCAACAAAAACAAATTCAGTTCACAGTAATCATATTAAGTTCTGCGGAAATAGTAAAGAGAATAAGCACGAATCATGTTTATTTGCTGAAGGTGGTAAAAGTTATTCTGCACATATCCTTGAAATTATTACATACCCTTTATAAAACCTAACTCGAATTCTGATTGGGTGAGATGTCAAAATTTGAAGCAAAAGCTTCCACAAAGAAATATTGTATTAAACGCCTAACGTTTTTTGTAACGTCATGGAATGAACCCCTATAATACCGACTTTTGGCGAACTTAAATGACAATAATAGTCTTCGATTCGACAGTTCTTTGCTCGCTTTTGCTCTCTTGTCCAACAAATTACATGGAAAAGCAACAACTATGTTATCGAGTAAGTTGTTTTGTTTTGCATGTTTTACATTACTTTTACTATCGGAAATGGCTCAAATGGAAATACAAATAAGAAGTGTTAAGATCAGTTAATTGGAGCGAAGTTGAAGTCCTTTTTTCTGTAGCCTTTTTTTTTGACAGATCTCGCGTGAGTCCTGTCAAGTTGTCACGTTATCGTTGTTCAGTATTGTTTGGCATTTCATCATGGAAAGACCTACTCGTCCTGTAAAGAATGTATTTTGCGTGCTTCGCTCAACATTTGGCCAACTTTATCTAAAGACCTACGCGTCGTGTAAAGAATGTATTTT